TTAAACAAATAGGTTTCGTTAACAACTTTCCCTCTTAAAATTGGATAGGAAAGATTTGGGGTTTAACATGTGAGACTTCTCGCACAGGTAAGCGGAGGTAGTTGGGGAAAACTTGTGCTAGGGCACAACACAAAGAACAAACTTTTTAAATTCACAAAATTAAAATATATTGAAAGAAATGAACAACAAGAATCAAAACGCACTATCCTACAATACTCCCTGAATTAATTAAAAATAAGCAACTAAAAATCCAACAAAATTTAAAAATATAGAAAGAATAGCGCAAGTCACTCGACAACTGCCAACGGTCACAATCCAGACGCACGATTTAAATGTTGTTGGGTGTAAATATGTAAGTCAGTACATCAATGCCCAACTGTAAACTCATATTGAAAATAATGCACTGCTTATTATTAAACTTAAGGTGTTGGTTCTCTAAGATATACTCTCTGCTGTAAAATATTCAATACGAAAACACCGTTTGAGCAACATTCCCATGTACCGAGATGAAGTCTAAGCCTACTGAATTGCTTTTAATTGTAACAAATAGTATTTATTACTCAAAGCGGAAAATATTAGTTTTATAATTTTTTGGCTTGAAATTGCTTTTCTTGAATGTGCGAATGAAATGAATTTCATCATCATGAAAATCAAGCAGAAAATAATCCAACACTTTTTAGTTTACAAATAAATTTTCAATGTTCGTACCTCATCAAGCTGGCGCCCTGTCCCTCCAAAACCCCCTCTGTTAATCACACCAAATCTAGGAAAGTTAAATAATACTGTAATATGTAAGGGGTTGCCCGATCCTTTATTTTCGCATTGAAAACTTTATTTGGTTTTCTCCAGAGTAAAAACCTTTTCTAATATTTTTGTGACTATTAAGTAAAGCGAAAAGATGTCAAGGAAAATTGAACTACTTCAAATGTGTTTTTTAAGGAAGTGTGAGTTGTTCGAAAAACATCAATATAATACTGAATAAATCTTTATTGAAAATTTGTTTCCAACATCAACTGCATTGTTTTTATTTTTGTTTGATATTCTCTGAGTACAAACATTTATGCATTTTTTAAATAAATAAAAACGTTTCATTAACAACTTTCCTTCTTAATGGAAAGAATAGGGAAAGAGTGGGCATTAACATGCGAGAGTTGTCGCATGGGTACGCTAGTATATTATTCAACAAAAGCATTGGGAGTAGGTTATCCGGCTTGAATCGTGCTGTAGTCATTGCTGCAGGTTGCTGCAAATATGCATTGTTAGATACTATCTGCGAACTTCCACTAACAATTTTGTCCTTCAATTTCGCAAATCCTAATTGCTGCATCGAAATGCATGAAAATGTCTTTAGTAGGAGATTTCACTAGGTTGAAAGTCACGTGTAATTCACGTTGGCCAGTTTACCCATCTTTTCAAAGTATTCGCAAAAAACTGAGTGCAGACTTAGATTTTCTTTTAATAGTTAGGAAAGGGAGATGATGCTGGTTTTACACGATTTCACATCGACAGTAACTTCTGTCATACTTTGAAGGTATGTGTACAAAATTTCTTTAAGTTCGATATAAAAATTTAATTTTTACAAAAAATACAATATTATTCTTTATATAATGGAAAATGAAAAAAAGAACCTAAATTATGCTTGGTAAAACACTCTGTCAGAGAACGGAGTGAAACAAGATTTATTCACTTTTTCATTACCAGGGCCATTTATACATTCATTATGAATTTAGCAAATGAGTTCTTGAAAGTCTTTTACAAGCTATATTACTAATTAAACGACTTGCCAGTTTTCACCCACAATAACAATAACATATAATGTCCGATTTAATAACGAGTATAAAGTGACTTGTGACACATCATCATCTGGACGTGGTTATAGCATCAAGAGCTTCGTTACGACTTTAATTTTTGGTATTGAAGCCTCGAATAGGATAACTGCGTCGCAGCTGATGATCTGTCACAAGTCACTGTAATTAAATCGGACAATAGAAGGATGAAAACAAAGAATACGTATTATTCACACAGTTTTTACGTCAAATGACGGTAGGCACAATTATTTTGGTCCAGCCTCGTAACCAATATTGACCACTGTGGTGGCAGCAACTGGAGACTTTGTTGTTGATGTATTTTTCATTTTCAAAGTAATTCTGTGAAAGCAGGAAGTTATTACATGGTTTTACAATGGCGTTCAGCTTTGTTCTTTATTGTCTTGCGGTTTCAGTAACTAACGGGGTTAGTTTTACATATATTAAGTAATATATGTAAAACTAACTTGAAACGTTTATACGAGTATAGTTTAAGTGTACTGATACAATTCACTGAAACCACTGTGGCATGCCTAAATGTGTATAAAAACGTTTCTGAACTCTATAATTTATTTTTGTTTTTTAGGCATATTATTTTTTGTTTAATTTCCATTCACTCAGAATTCATACTTATTTGTAAGTCATTAATTCGCGCCAATTACTGTCACTACACAGAATCACTACTTTCATGTCCGCCACGGCGCTGACTTGTAGCAGTCGGGGGCGGACGGGCGGCTCTCAGAGATGACCAAGCTGTTTACGAGAGTGGCGCCAAGCGAAGGCCACCCTAAAGGCCTCGTAGAATGCCAGGGTCGGGCGTGCGAGGCGCGGTCAGCGCCAGTAGTGCCGCAGGGCAGAGCGACCCACGGGGTCTTCCCCCTCCCTTCCCGTAATTGTAATTTTACTCAAAATAATTACCATAAATAGATCTCATCGCGTCCAAAGCCGTATTTGTACGTTTTTACATTTCATGTCCACAGTTGTTGTTTTTTAAATTAATATCACTGCAGTGCCTCTGACCGGAAGGTCCAACGTTTGAGTCCCGACGGTGCACCGCGGTTGCAGGATTTCCGACACTAGCTACATTGATTGCTTCTTTGATTGGTAGTTTTACGTGGTTTCTTCGATCAATACAAGACGAATGCTGGAGCAATACCCTAACAAACAAGCTGTGGACGGCACGCGATCTTTCCGTTCTGTTTGCTGTCCTAGTCTCACCCTCTTACTCACCCACACTCACATGCACTTCACTACCATGACCTTAGAGCTTGACCCGGCTGGGGCGTTGCCACGCTGGTGGGAGATACCTGGTTAGGGAAAACCCCGCAAGATGACGTAGGTTAGCGCCGGATCTCGCCAGTCAATACCTCCGCTTCTTCCTGCGCTAAAACATGTATCACACTTACTGGACTAAAGACCTTAGCAGTTGACGGGACCGCCAATCAATCAACCAGTCGGCACTTTTAATGGCGGATCCGAACCGACATCCTTATCGCGAAATTCTTTGTGGGCCCGCCCCTGCCGCAGCAGCAGTGGCTGATAGCAGAGCTGGCCGGGCGGAGCGGGGACGAAGGCCCGGCCCTGAGGCGAGGTCGGTGCGCGGCGGCGCAACTCGGGAGCACCGGAGCCGAGCGGCGCACGGAGCGAAGGCCCGCTGAATGGTCTGTTCGGATTCGTTCGTGAAAAAGGAACTTTTTAAATCGAGAAGGGTCGCGGGTTAGAATCCCGCCCCCGGGCGTGGATGTGTACACGTGTGATGTGGTGAGGTGGGGATCTCCCAATCATCGTGTATCACATCTCAATCTTCTTCCTGCCATGGAAAGAAGAGATTATTGGGATGTGGCGAGATGGGTGGGTCGCTAAGAGACTTGGCTAAAAGTAAAAGAGATTAGATGGGAGAACTTTGCAAACAAAGGCGTGCGTAGAGGGAGGCCGTTCCTCCTCCCCCTAATAATTTTGAAAGTGGTCTCTTAAACCGACATTTTTACACATTTTGCTTTCTTAAATATTTTCAATTCCTCATATGCCCATTTTTAGCAAAATAATTTGGGAAATCGTGGTACATTTCGAGAATGGGCTCTTCAATTCTCCTGGCAACCTGGTAAATGGTTTTATATAAAATTTAATTTAATAATTGTATCATTAAAGTTAAAATTTCATTCTCATAATTAATTTGTTATTGTTTGTTAATTTAATTAATTGTTTATTGTCAATGTTAATTTACTCGTAAAATGACATATGTAAATAAAAATTTTCAATGGGAAAGGAGGCCCAAAAATGTAGATGACCCCCCACCCTCCCTCTTGTTTAGACTGTGCACACCTCTGCTAGCGGAGAACATTATAGCCTGAATCATGCAATTGGCCTGAGGGACGAAATATTGGCTTGATTTGAAAAGAAGGATTCTGAAGAAAGTTACTAATTTTTGGTAAAAGTTCAGTCAATAATAAAAATAACTACGATTTGGGCTTGATTGGCCCCGGAGCAAGCTAACGTGCACCCTCCCCTCCTCATGCTTGCTGGGACGGACATGCCAAAAGTAAAGATCAATGCTAGTCGAGTGACCGAGCCGCCGGCAAGTGACCACCTTTCATGCCGAATTGTTCTTGTAACGTGGCATTTTTCTTGGGTCAATGAGGCGATCCACAAGTGAAGTAACCTGTCACTGATTGCGAAAACATACTCGAATGCAATCGAGTTGAAATATGAGAAGTTTTCACATGGGCGCAGATATCATTATTATGTTACGTAACCGTTATAAATAATACAATCTAATAGGAATGTTTCATCGCCAGTTTGCTTTCTAGTCGACAAGTATTTGCGTAGTAAATAGAATAGAAAAAACATTAACTATTTAAAAAATAGTGCCGAAATTTGGCAGTTACACAAACTTTCTTGGGGTACGTGACACCGAACATTTTTTCCCCCGAATATGTTTGTCTTTCCATCTTCTTGTTCCCGCCCTGCCTCGCCTGCCCGCACCGTCCATCTTCAATGCCTAATCGCGTTCGAACTGCATTAAACCAAATAGACACAAACTTTAATTTAAGAAATTGGGGATACATTTTAAATCGTGATCTTACGTTTCTTCGGTCACCCCAAATTTTTTGAGAAAAGTTTTAAAATTGTCCCAAGCATTCCAAAACTTCTACGCGGGACCAAACACACATTTTAATATAATAAGGTAAAAGTACATGTATTAAGGGAAAGTCTATGCTTTATTGTATCATTTGTTATTTTTTTAGGCAATTACATGGTAAAAAAGCTTAATTGGATAAAAGTTACATTTCATGTCAACTTTCTTCTCATTTGTGTTACAGGAACTATCTTCTAAGAAGCGTTGCTATCATCAGTCACATCATTCAGACCAAGATTCAAAACTTTTCAAAGAATAAATATTCTGAATCCACAGGATAACATAACTGATTCTTGTGGCATGATGAACACCAAAGTACAAGTTTTTGATTTCTTAACAAAAAATAATTTTAAAAGCAATAATGTAAGTTTTTAAGAAAGTGGTTCCATGAAGCATTATTTTTAATATTTCATTTCTTTAAACAATAATATTACTTGTCAAAATATTTTAACATATTTAATTAATATTCTTATTTCATACCAAAATAGTTTTAGTTAAGGAACAAGAAAATAAATTTTGTTGATGTTCACTTAAGCATATTTTGCAATATTAGTCAAATTACATTTTAAAACAATCAGTTCAACTGTAAAACCATCATCATAGTTATGCATTTAACTGTCTTCTTGAAAATTCATTATTATTTCAAGTAATTTACTTTTGCTTTTGGGGCTTATTATCCCCATTTCTTCCATATCTTCTTCACGCAACATCAAAAAGGATTCCATATCCACCTGAAAACAGTAGGAAAAAAATGTAATAACAAATATTTTTTTTAAATGTGCAATGTAACATGTACGTTTTTATTCCGTTCTTTTCAGTAATATGCAGGTTTTAAAGTTTAATTATGTATAAATGATCAATAAATTGTCATATTTAAATCACGTGAACAACTTTGCTTCTTCTTTCTGAATCACTACATGATTCAAGCGCGTGTTACAAACTAGTAGGGCATGCAGAAGACGTGGAAAATTATCACTTTTACCTCTGAACCTGTGGTGAGAAATTTATACAGGGCCCTTGCACACGAACATTGCGTTGACGCGCGATAAGAAACGCGTGTCGTAGAATAACACAATAATATGTGGAACGGCACACGAGCGCTTTGGCCGTTTCACATAAGATTCATTGTTACTTTACTACGTGTGACATCTGTCGCAACGGACGTGACGTATAATGCAAGTGAAATGTTCGACATTGCATCCCTGATCAGTAGGCAATTCATCTTGCATTGGAGCATAGCGGGTCTGCGTCTTCGCCCCCTCCCCGGCACAACTCCGACGTGGGCCTTGGGACGAGGTTACATTTTAGCTGCAGATCGCGCGTCAGTTAAGTTTTGCATACTTTTCGAAGTTTTGTTCCGAGAAGCTACACGTTTGGGGGGTATTTAAATACGCTGTTTACAGGGTGGCTGAGTGCAATGAAAGAGCTGCTTGAAGATGGTACGCGGAGCTTTTGGTACTTGGCTGTCCGCGTAACAGTCGGTCGAGCTGACGTTTCGGCCATCGTGCAGTGGCCTTCTGAGCTATTCTGCTAAATGGTGGCCGAAACGTCAGCTCGACTCGGACAGCCACGTACCAAATGAAGTGTAGGAAGGCATTGTATGCGCAGCGTTTCTTTGGCCGGCACGACCCGGTGCACTCGGGGGGAGACCAGCGACTTCGCGTACGCAAACGTGCGCACGGGGCACGTTAGGCCGTCGATCCGCGTTGAACAAGTTGAAGAGGTGATGTGCCGTCCACCGATACAAGAACGATCGCTCGCAGTACGCAAATGAATAGAAGGAACGTATTGCGAGTTCTACAGAAAAAGCAACACAGTCTCTTCTATTTTCAAAATGTTCAACACTTCTCTCCAGAAGTCTTTGCACCACGTGTGGTACTCTGGAAGGTTTTGCGGCGTATGTTTAATAATCCGGCGTTCCATTACTAAATATATAATCAGCGACGATGTCACATTTTACAAATGTGGCATTTCGAACTCCAAGAACTTCACGTGTGTGCCTACGGGAATTACAGCGCGTTTCCCAGCGGACATGGCGTGCCCACTTTCGGTGACAGATCAGGGAAGATCGCTTGATTGGCTGTCCGTTATGCCGCCCCCTTCGCCTCGTTTCTACAGAAAACGCTGCCTACTTTCCCGGAGGATATGCCTCTTGCTGCGAGGCATCGCGTTTGGCTACAACCTGTCCGACTTTCGGGAGCACCGGTTTCACGTACACATTAGTGGTCGAGTAATTAGCAGAGGCGGGAACCATTGCATGACCTCGAAGGTCGTCAAATTTAGCATCCCTAGATTTTTGACGGTTGAGTCAAATGAAATCCATGGTATTTGAAACATCCTTGGAGGCCAAGGAAAATCTTGTGGCCAGAATTCTCATCACAGGCTTCTGCATCCAGTCTACTCAAGTTATTTTCGGGAGGTTGCATCAGAAAGTACGCCGTCATTGACACGCATGCATTTAACTTTGTGTACTTCTCATTGAGTTTTTTTTTATATCGAAGCAGAAGAACACAGTTAAAAATCTTCCTCGTTTTTATTGTGAGTGTTTCATTTTACCCTGACTCCGGTAAGTTGCCTGCCAAGCATTTATGCAGGATGAAAAACCTACCAATCAGGGACTTTAAATACTTTACTATTTTCACTACTTATTCTCTTACATTCTTCATTAGAAAACAACAAATTAGAAATTAAGTCAACATAAGAATTCAGACATTCCTCTGTCAACATAATAAAAAAATACAAATTCTTATGTCAACTTAAGAACTTGTAGGCCACACAATTGATCTTGAAGGTATGAACTATATGTATTAAATGAATGGTACCTCATGTTCCACAAATAATGGAATGTATGTTTGTAATTTATGACTTTTTAAAAGATTTTTCAAAGAAGATGTTGGTGAACAAAAATTATAATTAATTCTCGTCTGTCTTCCATTGATTGGTATCGTGGATGAGGTTTCTCCTTCATGTGAATATTCGCATTCTTGAGTCTTTTTTTGGCAATGAGAATTTTTATTCTTGGTATTTGTCGTCTTTTGCCATGAATTGAAAATAATGTGAAACCTACAATAAGATCAGGATTAACAATGAAAAAGAATGAAAAAGAGATACACACCAATTGCCATGTTGAATAATAAACACATCTTAATATCTTACCACTTTTCAAGTTTACTTATTCCTTGAAGCTTCCCATTTGATTCTTGAAGAGAACTTTTCTCTTCTCTTGTAGAATATTTTAGTCTTTGTCGTTCATGATATGAGTAATGGTGATTCAAGCTTCCTAAAGAATGGTGTTTTTTGGGGGTAACGGTTTTAGGAAAGTGAAAAGGAGATGAAGAACAATTATATGGAGATACAGGTGGTACAGGTACACAAGTTGCATTTGTCTGTGCACATACATTTGTTTCCAAATTTGTATTAACAGAAACCTGTGGAAAATCTTTCAACGGCAAATAAACTGGAGTAAATAATAGTGATCTATCCTCATTTTCTTGAGAAGCAATATTAGGATTTCTTGGTGTTATTTCAGAAGTGGGAAAATTAAACATATTTTCTTTAGGCGTACCACTATGCCATGTATAGCTCCTTGGTTTTGGAGTACACACTGATGACCAACCATATTGTTCAATTAAATCGGACCCAACTTCTGGAGAATGAACATTTTTACCTTCCTTAGTTTTATCTGCCAATAGATGAACAATTTTCTTGAATCGCTTTGTAGAAGCAATATCAAGAGCAGTACAATGATGAGAATTGTAGAGATTAGTATCAGCACCAAAATCCAAAAGGATTTTTATAACCTCTTCATGGCCACCAGCAACAGCCAGCATTAAAGGTGTAATACCTGAAAATAAAAAGAGAAATCAAATTACAACTATCATGGTTCTTGTAATTTTTACTCTCTCTTCCATACCATAAGTATTCTAGTGAAATATTTTCACCCGTTGTGCTTGTCAAAAGTATGCATTTTAATGCCGTTTGGTGATCTTAACTGAAAATATTTCAACTACTATCTCCTTACCGTGTTTATCACTTTTATTTATTAGATGAATCTGAGAGCCAAGTAATGATGACAAAGTATGGAAGTGACCCAGCAATGCAGTTATATGAAGAGGTGAAATAACATTCTCAGATAATAATTCTTTTTGTTCTTCTTGTAGAAGGATTTCAATTATTTCTTTATTTCCACTTGCAGTGGCCATACTAAATACACTGACTCCTAAAAATAAAAGAACGTTTTTGATGCACAAAAATGGTTATATTAGAAAAGAATTATATACAATAATTTTAGGATAGATTAGAATAGAATTATATTCAGTAGTTCTAGGAACCTTCCCATTTTCAGATATTCAATGACTTAAATTTCTTTCTTCAGATGAAATATTACAATTGAATAAGTCAGTAGGAAATGGTATATATTCCAAAAACTTCAACTATCTTCCATTTTTCTCTTATATTATTTTCATAAATCATCAATATAACATTTTGTCATTTTGTTATATTCATGATTTATTCCCTTAAGTAAGAAGAATTCTCTCCAGCAATGTTAACAATTCTATATCAATTTTTTAGCATAAAAAATAGAAAACATTTCTGTAGTTGATATTTTGTTAAATTACTTTGTATTTGGTTGGTTGGTTGGTAGATTGAGTTACGTTGATCAAATTAGCTTGGAGAGTGTTTAAAAACAAACTGTAATAATTCACCAAAGAAAGGTATTTTGTTTTTACAAATTTAAATACAAGATACCAAATGCTTTATCATTCTTTCTTTTTAAAATGTAAGTTATCATTGAAGTAAACAGCAATGTTGTCAGTATTTTAAGAAATTTAGGTTGGCCAGGAAAGTCTTTCTAGCTCTCATGTGCAGATTTTCAGAATTTGTGTTTATAATTCTCAATGAGGAACAAACTATAATAAACAATGGCTGAATCAGTTTACTTTGTCATTTTTAAAATGTGCATCTTCTCTCAACTCACTCAATTTTAGAAAAACTATTTTATGTCAAAGTGTTCTTGTTAATTCACAATTTAGTTTATTCTAAAATTTTTAATCTTAATGAAGTTAACAACTTAAAATACAGCACAAAATGTTGGCATTTTCCCAGACTTTCCATTTGCAACATTCAAACATTCAGGTCAAAATGAAACTTGAATGTCAAAAGTTGCACACTGTATTTACATTCCAGACTTTCTCAAATTAAAATGCTTTTAGAAAATCTGTACTTATATCATCTCAATTGAAATATGTATTTAATTAGTTATGTAGCAGGCTTATATGAATAAAAAAAGTTTTGTTTGGACATGATTTAATTATCCGCATACTTTGAAGATAGAATTAAAAATAATTGTAAAGCATTTTCTTTGAACAATCAGGAAAAAGAAATAATTATTATTTTTTTTCATTCACATATATTCATTCCACATTTAACTTTATTATAATATTGAGATAATAATTATTAAATTATACCAAATTTATTCACGTGATGTACATTTGCTCCAAGAGCAATTAGCTGCTGAATGCATTTTGAATGTCCATTTCTGGCAGAATACATGATAGGTGTCCATCCTAAATTTGTTGATTTATCAATATCAGCTCCTTTCAACACCAGAACCTTTACTATATTTTGAGCACCTACAGCTGAAGCAACATGAAGAGGTGTGATTCCATTTTCATCCGAATCATTGATGAAGACACCTAGATGAAAAACAACTCTCCAATATATTTTGTAAAATTTAGTTATACGCAGTTGTTCTATTAAAGTATACTTCATTCACTTTTCTAACATAATTTGTTGTCAAAAGGGATAAGATCAATTAAAAAATGGCTATGACAAAAAGAAATTGAGAATAAATAATTAGTAAAATATATGTTGGTAAAAGCTTCATGTATGTTCATTCACATTCATGTATCATCCCTAATTGCTTAAGGTGAAAATATATTTAACATTTTTGCTTTGACACTTGAAAGAATATGACTAAAAGCAATTATTCAGAAATTACATAAGTAGTGCCATTACATTTCATTTATGAGTATCCTTAATTTTTATATAAACACAATATTTCATGTTTTGAGTAAAGATGAGATATGCAGAGCTGGCATGTTTCTATCCTTGAAATATGCATCCAAAAATGTTTAAACTTACAGAAATGCTTAAAATATGCACATTTGTTCACAAAAATATTAATTTGCCAATGATATTTACTCTTTCACTCACCTAGAGAAGGAATATGCAAATTAGACAAATTTAATACTTCTGCGCATTAAACTTTTCATTAAGAACGCACAGTATCATACAAATTTTGTTAAAAGTTTCTGTTTTTAAGTAGCGTTTCCTGTCAGACAATAGTTTTGTGTTTTGGAAACATCTTATTTTTTCATCTTATATGTTGCATGCACATTCCTATTTTGACAAGTTTGTGCTAAATACATTATGTGAAATGGAGATACTCGGGGAATGTACTTTTCTCATTTGAGAATCTTCTCATTTTATCATTCCCGTTCTTTTTTTATTCAATATATCAACAAATTTTACTTGGCTGGCCCTGGTCAACAGTCATCTGAAGGTTTTTGTGTGTCTCATTAGGAAACTTTATGATTTATCTTAATTAAAAATTTTCACTTCAAAATAAATTTTCTATCCAGAAAAAATTGGAAAAATTAAAAAAAAAATACAAATAATTTTTTATGACCCAAGCCTCTAAAATATGTGTTATATGCAAAATGTTTTCTATCTCAAGATATTCAATATTTTAATCTGAAACAAACATTTTAAATTTCTGAGTGATATGACCATCAACAAAACACACAATTGCATGAATTTACCCGCTTTAGTAACAAGAATATTGAGAATTACCTACCTTCATCAAGAAGTTGTAGAACTGTACTTTCTTCTTTCATTTTACAAAAATGAATGAGATCTTCAAAACTCTTCCTTGATGGTTTCATGTTTTTATTTGATGTTACTTGATGAGGTACGAATTTCACTCAAGAAAAGGTGGTGTTACTTTAACGGGAAACTTTTGACTGTTAATTCATATTTTTGATTATTATATTTCTAAGCCATTAATTACCATTAAAACCACGACGTGCCCATGACAGAAGAGTTCTATTTAGTAATACAGTGATATCCAGTACAAACCCCGTATTCAGAAGATTCAAAGTAAAATGGCCATCACCGCAGAGATGAGAGAACTTGAGTGAAATAACCGATTAGTTTGTAGACGGCACCAGACGCGACCATACGGAACATTCCTTGGACGACTTCTGATTTCATATTTTTGCGGGTTTGCAAGGACACACCTCGCGAGTTCCATGGTGGCGAGTTCGATATAAAAATCGAAAATGTCGATGTGGTTCTCAACACTCGATAGAAATTTCTCCAGATTCTGTTTCATGTTGTGAACCCTCGCCAGTTATTAAATGCCTCTATGGCAGATGGCGAGAAAAATTCAAGTTGTCTTGAGAAGTTTTCATGCTCCCGTGGATGAAAGAAAAACTGTCTGGCAGTCGTCAAAGGTTGATAAACATTTGGAACAGGCGTTGTGATAGCGAAACCAAAGAATTTACCCGAAACGACATGTTTGTTTCTGACACCACTAGTTTATTTGAAAGTGATTCTGTGAGGTTGAGTGTCATTAGTATAGAAGGAAATGTATGGAATATCGATGCCGCCCCGGATTTCACTGTCGAAAAGATAAAAACCATGGCACTGTGTCACTTTTATAATCCTTTGGAAACTGTTAAGGTTACCCCTAATTACAAGCTTGTCCTTGTAACAGGGAAAAGACTGCTAGTGAATGATAATTCAGTTGTGCAAGAAGGTTTAAAAGATAATGGTAATTTAGAATTATAATACATTTATATAATTTATACATTGTTATAATTGTATTGCATGTGACTGTTCTATTTATACTTGCTAGATGAACTGCTCTTAGTAGAAAAGAGACAGCCTTCCGCTAAAGAAAATTTGAATGAAGATACTTTGAGAGCCCCAACAGAAGAAGAAATACATGGTGCCACAAAGGGATTAGAACCAAAAAACACTTTAAAAATGTACCCGCCTCATGAATGCTCAGCAGATGTAAGCTCTTCAAATATCTCTTTTTCTTTGGAAAACTATGTAATATTAGTTTTAGGTAAATAAAACCACATTACTTAAGTTAAAGTGCTCTTCTGTGTATGTTATTGGTTAAACTAGGTGTTTCAACTCTTTCAGTACTTAAAATTGGTCATTAAAATATATGAAGTATCTAAACTGTGCAGTGTTTGCAAGAATTCAGTTCTTATTACCATAATTCACTCTTATGTTAATTCTCATTTTGTTTTGTATCATGCATGTATTACATATTAATTTATCATTTCATTATTCCATTAGTTATGAAATCTGGCATGATATTTAAAAGCTATTTTAACTAAATTAATGAAAACTAAATACACTTCTCTTTTGCAAGAATAAGCATATAAAATGCAACTTTGTACGTGGTTTTTAAAAAAGTACTATAAGAACTGCTTTGTGAAGGTGAAGGTTTATCTAATCTTTTGATACATAATAAGACTATTTAAAACTATTGTTGATTCAGTTTCAGAGTGAAATACGTAAAATACTTATTTCATTGGTGGAAGCTTCAGCAAGAATTTTGACACCAAGCCCTAATGCAGAGGAAGTTTTTCAGTTAATCCGGGAACGATTAGATAGTAAAGGAAAACCTCAGCCTGATCCTCGATCTGTCAAACAGCTTGTTGATATGGGCTTTTCAGAACAAATTGCAGCTAAAGCACTGAGAATGAACAGGTTTGTTTGTAATTCATTTATTTACTGTTGGATGTGCACACCCACCTTGTAAAATAGAGTATTGAAAATTACTTATTAATAGCTTGAACCAGAGAGATGCTTTGGATTGGTTGCTGGAACATGGAAAGAATGCAGAAAATGTTTCTGAATCTCTGGAAGAGAGTTCTGATGATTTAGTAAGTGGTAAGGCAGGATCACAGAGTACTTCAGGTATGATTAGTTTCATGAACTTTCTTATTGGAAAATATTTATTAATATATTCCTTAAGTTAATTCTGAATTGCATTCCAGCATCCAAAAAAGGTCATATCAAAAAATCAGTTACTCAGACTGTAGCTTCTCTCTTGGATTCTTTTCGTGCATTCAAACGCCAGGATTTTAAACCAAATACCAAAGCTCTAAATAATTTAATGGAGATGGGTTTTGGTGAAGATGATGCTATTGATGCATTGCGAATAACAGGAAATAACCAAGCCTCTGCAGTATGTTTAATTTACATGATTGGGTAAATTACTTCCTTATTCAAATGGCTCCTAAGTCACAAACTTGTTGTATATTTTTATTTTAGTGTGAGTGGCTACTTGGTGAAAGAAGGCCAAGCTTAGAAGATTTGGATACAGGTCTTGATCCAGAAGGACCTATATACAAGGCAATAATGTCTAATCCTGCTATTCAACTGAGCCTTACTAGCCCAAAGATGTTATATGGTATGTTATATTCAAATGTATTTATTTTAGATGGCATATCAGGCGGCGACTACAATAAATGTACATTGAGATTTCAGTGGAACTTCTATAAGCCATTTATGAGACTCAGGTTTTTTCCATATCCCTTGATTTGGAAACCAGAAAAATTGAATAATTCTGCAAGGAAACCTACAACTTGAAGCAATCTGTATACCTCAGAAGCCTCTAAATGGTTTATTTAAATTGCTTCTACATAATACATACTGTGAAAAAAACTTCCATTCCATAATCATTCAACAGCAGATTTTATAATAAACAACTTTTTAACCATTTGTTTCCTGTGATTTGTGATCCTTGGTTCTCCTCACAAACATGGAGAGCCATGGAGAATGTGGCACTGTGCAATTCAAAATTCATACTATACCCTGGATAAATTCACAGCTGTACAATAATTATTAATGGTGATTTAAGCCTTGGTAGTTTCTTTTTTTAATCCTCAGACCGTAAGTTTCCTTTTGATTTGGCTAATCGTGGTTTGACTGTATTAAGTATCCCAAAGAGTTTTTCTCTAACACAGTTACAAAACGGGTATATTATTTAAGATGTAATAGTAGGAGCTGGGTTGTTATTAGAAAACAGTAGTTTCTAGTTCAAATATTATAAAGAAATTAAATTTATACTTATCAATGTGATTATAAATGGAACAAGATTCTGCAATTGATCCAGTAATGAAAAAGCTAGTTCGACGCCAAAAGAGGGGGCACTGGGAATTGCTACTAATAAACTGACAAACGCTACACTTACTATACCTAAAATATTTTGTTTTCCAAGCACCAAGTGATAAATTACAAAGTCAGCGAAATATTTTCTGATTTTACTGAAGTGCTGTTGGAAGAAATTATTGAGTCGCAGGAGATACTTGGTGTAATAAACATTAGTGCTAGAGAAAGTTTAAAGTAATACATAATCATCCCTCGTGAATAGATATTGGCAAAGCAGAATGAGAGATGATGTGAACTCTGCCCATTGTGGAAATGATCAATAAAACCTGACATATAAATTTTCATAGAACTTATTCATAGAATTCTAAGTTTTCAAAGTGGAACACAGACGTTTTCCTGCTGACACACCAACCTGCCAACACACCTTGCAGAAACAGAGAGTGAGAAGCCTCAGGGAAGACACATCATGACAGATTTTTTAGAAATGCATACTTGAAGTGATTATTGGAAAATTGAAGTTAACAAATAATGTTTTGCACACGAGGTAGATGGTGACTCGATAACTAGTTTAATAGGGTTGGCTAAATTTTCTTCAGCTTAAGAAAACCATCCTTAAAAAACCCTTATAAATGTTTTACTGGTCTTTATTACCCTTGCATAATAAAAGTGAAAATTTGTTACTAGTAATGATTGAGTTTTAAATCTTACACTGGGAAAGGGGGAGTGGTAGTAATTCTTGGATCCCTCATATACTTAGCAGAACAGAATATGTTTCAGAGTAATGAAAATCAGCATTTTATATGACACAATTCTTTTTAAAAAAAAACTACCCATTAAAACAGCGTTGTTTTTTTAACCCTGAGCTTTAAACATAATGTTTATTTTGGGGGCATGAATTTCACTATGCAGGAAAAAATCATTCTCATCTTTGCATGATTTTTACATCTTTGCTCAAGATTATTCAGTTTTGAATTGTTCTTTTGCTTTTGCAGCATTCCTTTCAATGTTGGAAAATCCAAATAGTGCTAATGTATGGATTAATGACCCTGATGCTTCTCCTGTATTAAGTCAGATTTTTAAGACTTATCATTCTGAGAAGCATGCCATTCAAATGAATCGTTATGTGGAACAGCAACATCAGAACCAACTTCAGAAGGATCAGAGGCGACAGACTGGCCAGATGCAACAACAATAGAAATAAAAGTAATTCAAGAAACTTAGACATATACAAATGTTTATGTCATGGAGAAATGAAATGTTCAGTGTTATACTACTTTGATAAATTTATTGGTAATACTCACAGCACAAGGACTCAACTGTTTTGTTTAAAATAAGAAAAAATGAAAAATTGGAAGAAGAAGAAAAAAACAGAAAAACATATGAACAAACAAGTTGTTTTATTCCTCTGCTTCCTAACTTGCAAAGATATAAATACATATTATTTAAAAAGTATTTTACACACAGTAATTATGTTTGGAGATGACATTCAGTAACCATTGTGATGGTTTGAATATTTCCATTGTTTTGTTTGGATAAAAACAGTAAAATTTTTTAAAAAATGATCTGGTCTAATCTCTCTCAGATGAAATGCTTTGATAGTTTTTGTTCCGATGAATCCAAAATTCAGAAAGGTGCAATGTCCTCAGAAGTGATTAGATATTTTTAACATTTTAAGCATTTGTTCAAATTTAATGATATAGCTCAGATTATTTTATCTTTGTGCTTTTAAAACTACTGTGCACATACTATGCAAGGTTTTGTTACGCGTGTGCTTTAAGCCAAAATTCCTAGAAACAGTTTGAAGGGATTCAATGTATAAAATTTGAAGAAAGTTTAAAAATCTAATTGCCAAACTGGTAAAGAGTAAAATATCAACAAAATCTTTGAGAAAAAAATATTTATTTGATAGAAGCATTACCTTAGAATGAATGCTTTGAAAATATTTTCCCAACTACTATGTAACTTAAATACAACTTTTCATTAACTTTGGAATATATGTAATAAAATATTTAATAGATTTTTGAATTATTTTTGTGTAATCAAACTAATCAATTATTTTAATTTTTGCTACAATTTTTGGAATTATGAAGTAGACTAAGATTATACATTGAACAGCTGGTGTGTTACCAGAACAACGTTATTGAATTGAAAATTCTGTTTATGTATTTTCAAAAAATAACATTTTGTTTTGAGTCTGAGATAAAAAAGTGTTCTTTAGTTCGTTTTGGATTTTTACACAAATCTCTTTTAAAGGTAATTGTTTTAAATGAATCACTGTTTCTGTTCAGTAAATTTAAGAAGATTTTAACTGTTATTTTGAAAACTAAATGAATTTGGGAAATCTTTCTCAACTTTCACATGTACTTGTGGAAAATTTAAAAGTTGTTCGTAATGTTTAATTATTTTGGGCAGCAACCATACTGGACATTGAATAAGTTGCGTCTCTCTCCTAGACTTCGTTAAATTCTGCTGGTCAGTGGTGAACAAATTCTTTTAATTTAATTATCCAATTTTGGATTATCTTTTCACCATGCAGAAATGAGTGATTTTGAGTTATACATTATAGAATGGAGCAAATTCAATGTGATGTGTAAAGTGTTTTGAAGATGAGCCAAATTGTTTGGAACTTAGTTGAACAGCATAATGCAGTAAATAGCTAAGCAGCATTTCCTACTTTTCAAAAATAAAAATTAAAAGTTTGAAGTTTAAAAATCTTACGTGTTCTAATGGGACAGTGCTCACAATTTCTTGAAACATTCTCTGTTTGCAATTAAACTCTTTTTATAAAAATCCATCCTCGATCACCAGGGACATTAATATAGTGGTGGATTTTCAAAAACTGGCATTTAAATTTTTGGTTGCATAATGCCGTTTGATTGATGACCTTAAGGCATTTGTTTATTGGCATTAGGCTTAATCCTTAACATATTTGAACGGTGATGTTTCTAGTCATTCATGGAGTTTCTGACACAGTACTATTAATAAATGTTATTTTTATTATGTATTTTCTTTAATGTTTATTACAATATTTAAAATTTTATGTGAAATGATTGTATTGGAGGTAAAGATACAAGTAAAAGGAAATATATGGAATGTATTTTGTTATTAATACCACTAAGCCAAATAGTATTTGCTGCAAAAAGTAGGTGGTGTGTGTGTTTCCAGGGGAAAGTGTGATTAGAAAGATCTCCTGTGAGAAAAATCTTTACCAGTTGTAATCATTATTTGTGTTATCTACTGTGATATTTTCTTATTCCAATTTTTTGAGGGAAGAATTATTAAAGTTTGAATAAAATATAACAGACTACATTACAGTATGTCCATATTACAAAAAAATATAATTGAATTCTATTTCACTATAAATCACATTTATGAACATGTATTAAATTTATCCCAAGCAAATGTAACAGAAGTATTCTATGCTGTTTCGTAATTTCTTTTTGACATTCTCCAGAATGCAGCAATAATTGTTGAAAGGCCGTGAAATATAAACAGAAGAGATGATAATTATTACTGAATGAACTGCCTTTTTACTGCTTGTGGGAAAATGCATCTCAAAAAATGAGTGGTCAAAAATAGTTAAAATTTCCGTCATATTATTTGATAATTAATGGAAAGTCCCAATATTACAGAAGAAACTGCATGTTGAAAACCTAGCCACGAAAATACAATAGTTCCAGATCCTCTAATGTTAATAAATGGAAATGAATTATAAAAACATGTCAGAATCAATGTTTTCTGGGTTCCTGGAACTGAAAAATGTATTGATGGCAAAATATCTGTCTGTCTGTGGACAATTAGCTCCTCGACTGTTTGGATGACATTCTCCAAAATTGATATTACATGACCGATCTGAACAAACTCGAGACCTTGCAAGTTTGAAATGGATATTTTGATTTTTGAGGATACTTTTCATGAAGTCTCGATATTTTCAAAATGTTTGTCAAATCTTTGCCCTCTTGTAGCCTAGAGGTCACTTTCGCTGTTCTTTTCTTTCTTATATAGAATAAAGGGTACTGTAAAAATATGCTAGTTCTCATTTTCATTGAACAGTGAATTTTTCAAAATTACAAATCTTAGAAATAATGTGAGAAAATGTGCTCTTCTCTCCTCACTAGTTTTTCCTAAGGTGTAATAATTTTGGTGTATCTTTTGTACTCTTTTGTCCAGTAGCGTTAAACAAAACAATATAACAAAGAATTGAAGATTTTTTATGGTAAAGTCAGAATTAACATGTAATATTTATTTGGAAAACTTGCTCAGTACAAAATTTTCTTCCAGTGAAAGGTAAAATAAATAAATAAATATGTTTGTTGTAATAATTAATTTGTCAGCAGTTAATTATTACAGTAAAGAGGAGTTGACTATAAAGCAGAGATCTTTCTGTTTACGCTTAGCAAAGTTTACTTTATTTGACGACTTAACCTTTTTGACACCAATATTTTATGAAATATTGCAATTTTAATCATAATTACCAACATTTATGACAGAAAACTCTGATTTAAGAGATTAAATATTAGTGATGGTACATAATTTACAATCACAAAATTTTAAGTCCATATTTTCTTGCACTACTCTCATTTATTACAAGAAAGGGTATTTATTTGTATAGGCAGTTAAGCTTTGCATTGTGTAGTTCCTTTTTCCACTCCTCTGTTTATAAAGAAAAAAAATAAACAATGAATTCAAACACTTTGATACTTATTTTGCTGATTGTTATTTGTGACAAAGGAAATTTGAAAAAGTCTGTGATATAAATGTTTATTAGTCTGAAATCCTGTGTTTATATTCTATAACAATGGTCTTGTGGCAATGAGTGTGTAACTGCGCTTAAAATGCATGTTTGTAAACTGTACTTTGTATGTTAAAATTGTTTTATCTTAGTGAATACAAAAATGAATTATAGTTCTGCTTGTCAATCTGATGTCATCCAATTGAGACATTAAAAAATACACTACTTGTGCAGGTAAAAATATTATATTTATCCAATAAAGAAGACGATCTGTTTAAAAATGTATGCAAAAATCACATATCATACATAGTAAATACTTCACTGAAGTTAATGCACGATATACAGAGCCACATATAGGATTTTTTATGGGGAGGGGCTAAGGGTAGAATCCAAAAGACTTTTTTTCTTATAAAGAATTTTTTATTTATCCTGATCATAGAACATTTTTAGATATTAATTTATAGTTAATACGTATAATGTTAACCATTGATACATTGAATAACTTTCATTAGTATAGAAAATTAGTGAAAGCTGTATTTTTGAAATGTGTAAACGTCTCCCCCATACTACGACACATACATTCGTGCTCGTCCTGCCAAAACTAGGAGACGGAGACGGCAATCTTAAGTACTGATTGTATACCCTAAAGCATAACTCACATGGTAGTTTCGCTTATAATGACAAACTAAAATTTTAATTAGCATGTATAAACATAAACATATACTACACTTACAATTACACACTTCACTGTACATACACGTTCACCAATATATCATCAAAAGCCAAGATTATAATTTGTAACTCTGCTTTCATTCAGGTGCGTATCCACAGGGAGGGAAATGAGTGAAATCCCCCCCCCCTCTAAAATTTTTCAGTAACTTAATTTGAACTTGTCATGAGACATTGAAGTAAAATGTTTTTCAGAATATCATTAAAAAGAATAAAAATTGTATCGCTGGATGAGCTGACTGTAGCCTGCAGCATTTTACGAAATCTGTAATGTGACATATTCAATGAAAACATTTTGAATTTCCCCTCCCAAAATTCGTCTCTAGATCCACCCCCTCTTTCAATCAAGCGAGGTCCTGCAACTCAGCCAATTGCAAGCCCCCACAAAACGCACTGAGCACACCCGATTGCCCAGGAGCCTCAGTGGTTGCACTCGCACATACACTAATGCTTGGCAAGCGTGGGCATTTTATAACTGCTAGTGTAAAACAACAGCACGCTTTTGATAAATTAGGAGAGTTATGTTATAAATAAAGGAAGATTGATTTTATGTTACAAATAAAGGTTTTGGGATTTCATCGTATAAAAAAATCAAATTGTGAATAATTCTCCTGTATTAGTATCTTTTCAGATGCTCAATATGAAATTAATGTAATTATGGATTCCTTATTTTTATACCCTACTAATACTTTACACATACTACTAATACGGACACTTTAAACATTAAGAAATCAACTGAAAAATATAATTATCTTACAAGAGAAATTCAATGTGTTGCAAAATATATGAATGGTTTAAAAACTACCAATCCATCGATCAATTGAAACTGCTATGTTCATCTTTGTAAATGAAATCGTTATGACATTAGAGCAAAAAGAAATTTCTTTGGTCTCTTCCTTGATCTGACAAAAGCCTTTGACACATAGACTATAGAATTCTATTGTCAAAACTAGTTTCTTATTGAATCCGAGGAATTGCTTACAAGTGGATAAAATTATATCTAACTGATTGCAAATAAATAGAAGTGTTATCAAAAAGACAACAAAATAAAATCATCACTCCAAACCAATAGATGTGACCTATGGGGTCTCGCAAGGATCCACACTAAGCCCAATTTTATTTCTTATATTTGTAAAAGACCTGCCATCAATAATGGAAAACACAAAACTTCTTTTCACTGACATAATATTCAAAGAAAGAACAACCAAAGTTTTACAAGACATAGCCAATTCAGCCGTTGACAAACTAATTCAATGGATCCACAAAAACAAACTAATCCCAAATAGAGAAAAACAATCACAATGCCCTTCTACAACTCTCACTCAACACTACTCACCAAATTTTACACTAGAAAGTAACACCATCACCCAAGCACAGAAAACAAAAATTTCTCAGAACTACCATACTATCCAACCTCAAATGGAACTTGCACATAGAAGATATTAATTCAAAATTGAGTAAACTTATTATGCTCTTAGAATAATTATAAGAAACAGCACCATTGAAACAGTGTACATTGCAAATGCACACTCGATTCTCAAATAAGGAATAATAACCTGGGACCTAGCACCACAGGATAAGCAAACATTCAAAATACAAAAGAGTATCATCCAGTCAATAACAAATACAAAAAGAACAAGAGTCCTGTAGACTTCAATTCAAAAAACTTAACATACTTCCACTACCTTGTATATTCGTTCTAGAAGAAATACTAGCCGTTACACGTCAAACCATGAGACAATTTTGTTATGTAAATAAAATCCAGGTTCTTATGGTCTTTCTCAAAGTAATTGAAACTGATAGCTTAAAATTGGCCCTGCTATCAAAGATTGTACCCAAATTTCTAATGTTGTCCACGGATGCCAACGGCTTGTTGTTTATGGTTTTCTTATAGGCTTTAAATTAATTTTTCTAATGATGTTATTAACCTATATCTTCCCATTGGCAGGATTTCATGATTGTCAGGTGTTCCTGACTTGTGATTCTCATTGTTTATTCATAATTGTGGTTGCGTGCCCATTGTTGTGACATTGATAACAATAGTGTTGGACAAGTGCGATTAACTTGATTCTTACAAGTTTCAGGCATTTGTTGTTTTGTACTTGTGAGAAATTTGTCTCCTGATTTCGTGTTTCAAAATGAGTGCAAGACATTCGGAAAGGTAAATTTTTATAATATGGATGAGAATTATATTAATATTTTTATTATATGAATGTGATGATTAATTCCAAATATCGAAATTTTATCTAAACATGTTATCCTACATTATATCTTACTCATTTTAATTATTGTGACCTTATAATACAATGTTTTTTTGCGATAAGGTAGCAGTGGCAGGATGTCGTGCCACTGGGATGATATAATATCATATATAGTGAGACAGTCCAAACTATTACATTTAGTTATTTTTGTCCATTTTAAGGGTCTGACCATAAATAAAATTATTGATGTATTGGAAAATGATGATTTAGAAGATGAGGTAACATTGCTGTTGCAATGTTTCTTCCCATATAAAATGCACAACCAGCTACTTATATAGATTCGGATTGTTCAGGTGATGAAATACAAGGTGACCGGAGCATTTAGCAAGACGATTGCTGCAGTCTGAGGATGAAGTTGTAATGAAAACCAACAATGATAAGATGAGGAAAACTTTTTCAGAAATAAATAAGAAATCATTCAGAAATGCTAATGTGAAGTGCACCAACAATAGAAAAATTCGATCTGACTTTGAAGAGGACGTTGGTACTCAAAATGTGTGAGGAAAAAGCAGATGGCAATAGAGAGAAAGTTAAAAGAAAAAAAAATATATCTTATGGTACAAAACAGGAATCAAGTAAGAAATTTTCAGTATCAAATAAGGAAAGAAACTGAGGATAATACTTTAAAGTAAGGAAAAAATATTTTTCTGTATGTGTCTTCTTATCATCCAAATATATTCATTTTTTTGGAAGAACAAAAAACACCTTTAGATTATTTTTTAAAAACGTTTCCTACAGAACTAATTGACGTGATATTAGAGGAGGGCAATTGCTATGCTATTCTGAAAAAATTATCAGCAGAGGTGTTAACAATTGAAACAATTCTATGGTTAATTGGAATACTTTTTTTTTTGTCAGGATACACATCTCCCTCAACGTCATTGGAGGATTTTCCCAGACACCCATAATGAATTGGTCATAGACACAATGAGAAAGAACATGTTTGGTGACATCATGAGGTATATACATTTTACCAATAACATGAAAATAAATAAAGGGATGGGGGAACACCCCATACTATTGTAACTGAGGATATTTTATTGGATGAAATGGAATGCGAATGAAGCAGTAACTGTCACAACTAATTGTTGTTCTGCCAGTACATTGCATTACAATTGCACAATTCCCAAAAGAAAAGAAAAATTGTGTTCCTGAACCATCACCAGTTGCAGATTATAATAAACATATGAGGGTGTGGACGCTCACAATCAGTTTACATCAACATACTGCATAAAAATAAGATGAAAGAAGTGACGGTGGCCATCCTTCAACTAGGGATTCAAAGGTAAATGCTTGGTGCTCAAATTGAAAAGTAAGCAAACCTAATGAAACTTTTGAATTTCACCCATGACGTGTGCCTTCAAATAATGAAGATGAACAGTTCACCTAGAAAAGTAACTGGAGTGCTTTAAAGGTATTCATTCATGACAGTATTAGGTGTGATGGGAAAGATCATTGGATTGTCAAAAGTGACAAACCCAATTCCAGGTGCAAGCAGTGCAAGAAATGTGATATATCTATTCATCCTACCATTAAGTGTGAAAAGCCTTACCATTAAGTGAACTCTCTAGTACAGTAGCTGTATTATGTGACCTATATAGAGACTCAGTAGACATAAACCTATTCACATAATTGAGAAATTTTGAACTACACATCTTAAAGATCTTGGGAAATTGATTTCATTCTTTGTAATAGCTGATACAACCCATAAGTACAAATATATGTTTGTTTATAAAAGTTTGATACCGCATCTTCCCATTGGCAGGAAATCCTGCCAAAAATAAAAGCTTGTATTTCAACAGTTTAAACATTGTTGTGAATTATGATAGTCAATTACATCATAAAATAATATTTTTGAGAAGATCAGGCTCATATAACACAAAATATGGGTACATTAAAGTCTGGGAAGATACGGGTTAAAGAAATGTCTATCCGGATGAAGATACACAGCTTTATCCTTCACTGGTGGTTCAAAGTTTGGAAATCACAATGTAGACAATTTGCATCTTTGATGCCAAAGATTTGGAAAATATCTTTACTTAAAATAACATTACTATAGGCAATACATCAAATATGTTGAAAATAAAAAACAAAACAAATTGAGAACCTTGTGCAATCCTGATCTTGACCTCAATTGAATCCGAAGAAGAAAGACCAACACAACTACAAACCAACAATGCAGTGTTCATTTGGTCAGTTATCTTGCTCAGAACAATGAATCTCTCCTATTCATTCTGGACTGTTTGTCTATGAGGATTGGCTTTACAGAAAGGTTTTTAAGTAATTTTCAGCAATACAAATATTACGAAAGGCTTTCAAGAAATTTTCAGTTATATCGTTAAAGGTTTTTTCAAGTGATGGCTTAAATGTTACAAAGTAGGATAGTGGGCGCAATATAGAGTTTCCTTTTATATGAAAAGGTATGTGCTGTTTAGCATCTCTTTGTTATTTTTGGTTTTGTTTGAGTTTTGGCTTGAGGATTTAATAGTATCTTGCATTCCACTGAAATATTTAATCTGTAAGACTGTTTCTCCCTCCTCTATTCAATGATCAGGATAATTCCTGTGGTGTTGCACTATTGGGTAGGGGTAAGATCATTATTTTCCCCAATCTCTAGTTTACCAAGTTTATACTTATTTCTGAGAAAGCAGTGACGCAATGAGAATGACAAGTCAGTGCATGCAGAATAAGGATCGGTGCAATAATATAATTAAATATTTGCAGATTTCAGTCAAAATTGAAATTAATTGTTTTTGAATTTTTCCTGAGTTTCTGGTTACATAATGAAACCATAGACAGGCACCTCTCACATGACCAGAGACTCAATAGTTCAATATCTACTTGCTTTGGAATTTAATATTTGCTGCCTGAAGCAGCAAATATGCTGCTGAGCAAAACATAAAAAGAAGTTTTCCTCAAAAGTATCATGCTCTTTGCTCAAAAACAAATAAAATACTCCTGCAAAAAATTAAATATTTTGTATAGTATATATTCAGTACTACAGTTCTCTACAAACTAAGAATATCAAAAAATTTGCTTTTACATAACACAGCACAAAATAGTGAGAATTTAATGAAAGGGGGGTCTTTCTTGAAACCTTGGTTATCTCATTACAACAATGCCATAAGCAGTTATGAATATTCTCTGATTTACAAGTAGGGTCACTGGAAGTTTGATCAGCTAGGTGTGGTTATCCAAACAGAAGCTCCATTACATCTCTAATTTTGAAATGCTCCCAATTGAATAATGATGTCCCAGCTGATCAAATGTCAATACATCAGATGAGAATTAAGTCCATGTGCCAGGGAGAATAGAAGAATTACACAATCATACATTTGCTTTTTTCAATCAAAATCAAAACTGTTTTATGTTTTGCCCAAGTTCTTGGGTTTCTAACAAAAATATAAAAACCTCCCACATGACCAAAGGCTACATAGTTTGTTGTTTTTTCAGTTTTGTAATTTCATTCGCTGCTCCCAAGATGTATGTGATTGTACTCTCTCTAAATATATCATATTTGACTCGTCATACACGATTGTAATTGTATATGTGACTCAATAAATATTATTATTATTGTGTGCATTGTAAATTAGTAATGTACATACAATGTTTTTATATTTTTCCCTTGGGTTCCAGAGTATGTAATGAAATTGTAAGACACTCTCTCTTTCATGGTCTGATGCTTCACAGTTTTTTTATAATTTCTGCATGCATTGTAAATTAGCAATATAGAAATTTTCACTTTTGTGTCGGGGCAGCATAAGTGGATAGAAAGCAGGTTTGCCAACCTGGTTCAAACTTGAGTGGGTGATATTTATCTGGTATAACCTGAGGTCTAGTTCGTCTATTAATATGAGTATCAATATTTTCTGGATTGAACATGGCACTTGCAAAGCCATCTTCTCCCCACTTCTAAAACTAGAACTCAAGTGGGCTTGTTACAACTAGTACTGTAGGCTCTGAAGTTGGTTGAAAAAAGCAAAATGGTCCATCCAAATCACCATCTAACCCTGAAGAGATGTGTATTTTACACATTAAATATGACAACAAAATGTTTTTGTATTTTCTTTATTTCATGAAACAAGAATTTCTATTCTATACTCAAAAAGTTCATTATAAAATAAATGTGACAAAAGCATGTTATTGATCCACTTCATTTTTCTCTAGATTTGTTAACACAATATGTAAACTCACAATCTATGTTAAGAATAGCTTTAAAAAATGAATGATCTTTCTCTCATTTGTAATGCCTAAAATGTCAGTTATTTAGACAAAATTTGAGAAGTAAGCTAAATATTATATTTTGTTTGGTTTCAATATCCAGAACATCTTAGAAATATGTCCTTTTAAAACAGACAAATTTTCATTAACATCCACCATCATTATTCGTTGGCTGTATTTGGGATTAGTTTCTTAATAAAATGAAAGACAGGTGATATCAAGTTACTAGAAGTTTGAATTTCAGAAGATTGTGGAGAAACAGAAAAATTGTCTCTATCTTCAATAAAAGAATCGTTTTGGGAAGAATCAATAGACCTTAGATTCCCTCCTTCTGAATGTTGGGTGTCTTCATCACTTAGTTTTTGAGCTTCTAATGAATCATTGGCAGTTGTGACTGACAAATTTGTTTTGCAAGTTTCTTCAGTCTTCTCGTCTATCTCTTTGGAGGGATATTCTTTACGTCTCTTTTCTGTGCTGTGTTCAACTGTTTTAACACCTTTACGTGTATAATATTTTGTGCCATCATGTAGAGAATATACAACTCTCTGAAAAAAAGAAAAGGACTTCAGTTATGTAACGCACCTTTAAGAAACATTCAGTGCTACGTAAAAAGAACTTTAAATTCGATGAACTGAATAAAAATTCAGTATAATCTCACCTTATGAGGATACAGTTTTAACTGTATAACGTAAACATTAGATTTAATTTGTAATAACCCATTCCTGTTTTCCAAGACTGGTAGAAATTTAATATCGTAATTGGATTTTGATAACGCTGGTCTTATAAATTTGGTCATAATTATTTCAATATCTGAAAGTACATAATTAATTTCTAAGGTAATCATACATTTTATTAGAGAAATCCATTAAAAGTCTTTTCAAAAAATCTGCTTTTGATATATTCAGGAAAAACTGTTTATTAATTCACCTTTAACTAAGATTTTAAGATCACTATCTTTCATTATTATACCCACTACTACAGAGTCAGGGGACAGACCAATGAAGATGCTACCTTCAACATTGTTATTGAGCAGACCGCAAATCACCTGGAATTAAAATACATAATGCATTAATTCAACACACAATATTTTAAATAGAGTAAACATTCTATATAATTGGAGACAATAAAGATACTTACTTCAGCCATTTCTAGTGGTCTGATGTCTGCACTATCTGTTCCTTCGCAAATATGGGTGTACAGATCACTTTTAACATTTATCACACTTTGGTATACAAAAGCAGATTCTTCTTTTGCTTTTTCTTGAGTTCACAAACAAATTGTTCATTATCATGAACAACAAAGGAGAGAAAAAATAAATATAATATTGGAACTACTATATTGAATTAATCTACTTCTTCATAAAATTTTAGTTGTTAAAGTTGTTTAGTTGTTAGTATTATGTAGATTAGAAATATCTTTTAGGTTGTTAACCTGTTTATGCTACCAATAGTATATGAATTTGATTTTCCTACTGATCTCTTTTTGACCTTTATATATATCAGATTAAAATGAATCATTATATAACCCGTCTTCTGTAAATCTTTGATAATCATTATCATTTGACCATTAGTTTATGAATCTCTCAATATTTACCTCTAAAGTTGATCTCATTTTCAGGACTTGAGTCAGATTCACAGCATTGAGAACCATGTCCTTGTGGCAACACTGCAGTTCTTTTTTGATAATTATCTCCATTGGTGATTGCTGTGTTTTCATCTAAATTAGACTTGGTGTCCCTGTGAAGAATATTTGATGTCTGAATCATACCTTATCTTTTTTTTTTCAGAAGATAATAGATAGTAAAACTTTTTTGATATGCAATGTCTTTGAACCATTATAGTTATTAATTTGAAGTGGAGAATGGAAATTTGGATGTTTCTTGCATAGAATTTGAATTTTTTAAGTCTCGAAACAGTATAAAGCTGAACATCAAAATGTGAATAAGTATAAATTATATTAAAAGATTTTTACATTCTGGAGTGTTAAGAACTGGAATTTGGTGTTGGCAACAGACAACCTCATTTTGTACTCAAGTCAGTCCCAAACTTTCTGTCTGATATTTTTAGTGAAACTCATATAATTATGAGAAAGAGAACTTTAGTGACAAATTGTGCAGTTCATTCATAAACAAAGATTGTGAATCACAATATTCACAGAACTGGTGTATAGAAATTTATATTGAAGATTTCCCTCATTATTTTGGAAGCATTCTTTTTATAAATTTGTAATTTGCATATTTTTATGTTTATTAGTGTCTTCACTTACTGAGTTAACCTTAAGCATTTAAAATATGAATTATGTAAATATACAGGTATCCTATGAGGAAATGTTAATGTACTACCTGAGTTCTTCAGAGGTTAATAAAAAAAAAAAAAGTAAAGTGGATATATTCACTGCTTCTAAATGGGGAACAAGTTTTCATACTTTTTTTAACAAAAGATACCGGCATTCAATAATAGATTTTAGTATTTAGTTTTTGAATGAATTAGAACCGTTTTTATTTGGTATATTTTGGTACAATTACATATTTTACTTTTTACTGTGTATATTTAGATGCAAAACGGAATATTCCTGATTTTGCAATATACATTACTGGAATTCTTTTTTGTGCAAAGAGTATCTATTTATTTCTTCTTCTTCTAACTATTTAACATGCTTGTTCATGTTTCAAAGATCCCATGCTTTACTTGATCTAAAACTAACAAATATTTTTACAAATCATTGTCTTATTATGTTGGCATTTAGGGGGTAAGTTTCCTTTAGAGGCCTTGGAGAACACAGCTGACAACTTTTCACTATTAACTTGAGTGCAGTAACTTTGTAAATAACATTTTTTTTTTTAATTCAAATTAATCTAGTGTTCAGTTAGTTCTGTAGAGGTAGAACTTTCTTTCAGCCTCTCTGAATCCATGTTAATATATGATCAGTGATGTTCTGTGCTCAGAAAATTCTTACATAGAGTAATTTTAAACTCTAAGGAATTTTAATTTAATGTGTGTTCTGTTTTCTCTAACATTATGGAACAAATAAGTACATATCTGCATATTTTATTTTTTCATTACAATAAATTCTGTTCCCTACTTATAAGATACAGCACGTAGTAAGTTTCATGCTCTAACAATCCTCTTCAAGTTATTGGTATTTTACCAGACTAAAAAGGAAGTTAGTAGAAAAAAAGTGCTAATTGGCAATTTTTTCCAGAGGACATTCAAAACTTCAAGAAGGGATGAATCATACAATGAATTTGTGAAGACCATTTTCACTTATACATCTCTGAATGAATCTAGGAATCTTCCAGATGTTTTCTTGTCCAATTTCCTTCATTTAAACATTTTGAAGAATGGAAACCATAAACATGGCACATACTGTGAATTGATTGTCTGTGGCAAGAAGAAATTAACACTTTTCCAGCAGGGGACATCACAAGGAGAGGACAAGTCTTGGCATCCTTTTTGTCAATTTGCACTGTGAGTGGAAACAAAGATTGTTTATCAATTCCTCATTTTCCCTTAATTCAGCACCCAATAAGTTAATAGGCACTTGAACAAAGGGTAGCATATGAAATAGTACTGGAACTTACAAGAAATGTAGATCTTACTCAAGTTCACAGAACCTATATGCTTGTGTTTTAGTCTCCTGGCCAAATACTGACAGTTTGAAAAGGTAGATATTGTATGTATAGGTTCAAGGATAAGGGGCTGTCCTTGAATTACATAATTCAAATTTGGAGTATTTTAAATACCCCCTCTCCTCCCTGTAATGCACTAATAACTCATGCTTGAATCCCCTAAATAATTTTATAACACTTGTGACAACCACCCTCCATTTACAATAAATACAAATTATAAAATAGTAACGAGTTATCTTAATTATTAAATTTTATCATAATTAATGTAATAGTTTGTGGCACGGGCTGCAGCTGTCAATGAGACTGGGAATGAATTTGGAATGAAGGGCAGATGCTTAGGCACGAAAATTTCTGACAAGCCTTGCACACACCATCGCGGATGACACATAGACAAGACTCTACTGCACCAATTTAATTGGATTCTAGAATAGAATGTAGAATAGTTTTTAATATTTTCTTCATCATCTAAGATTCAATTAATATACCATTGTTGAAAACAAAATTTCCATTTATTGTAACAATTTGTACATCGTAACTTTTTAATTTATTTAAATTTGTTAATATTTTAATGTTTCAATGTAAGATTGAATAAAAGGAATGATTTCAGTAAATATCGCAAAATTTTAAAAATACATATAAGCATTATGTATCACTAAAATATTACCCTGATACCCATGTGTAATGCAGGATAATGCTGCCTCGTTATCCCCTTCTTCCTTTTTAACGTTACATAACTTTTGGACAACACCACAAAGCCATTTATAAGCTTTCAGAAATGATGAGACACATTCAAATTCATTTGTGCATCTACTCACCTGGCAGAATCAACATTTCCTCCTGTAATGTCTAAAATACATCTTTTTTTATAAAAATAATTACATTTAATTCACATATTTTAAATATTTAATCAATATCCAATTTAGTACCATATGCTTTATCTGCATGTCTACTTTGTAAAATTTTTGACTTAAAAACTATTCTTTACATAACAAAAAGAGGAAGAATGTTTGCCTTAAAAACTATTCTTGTTTTACTTGGGTGTATTTTTAAAAGAGATTCATGATTTCATAGATAAAATAATTTAAAAAATTCATATTGACAAGTTTTTGAAGCAATATAAGTATTCAATGTGTGAATAAGATGCTTAAAATGCTTATAACTGAAAGATTCTTAATAATTTGAAAGAATTAGAAATGTTTTGATTGTTCATGCAGCAACTTAAACATCTACATATTTTCCATTTAAATATGTATGTTCAGAAATTAATAAGTGCTCTGTTGAAACCAAGCATACTGTAGAAAAGATAATACTAGGAGGGAAGAAACCCACGATTATACACATTACTTATCAACTCTTTCTAATTATGTGAATACGTTTCTTACTAACTGGTAATTTTCTCAAATATTTTGTAACGAAGGCACAGAGAATGAAAATTTACAAATACCTTTCATCATGCTCTTCAGTCTCTTCTATTTGGTGCAATACATTTTCAAAAACTTCTGTGTGCTGATCTTGTCCGATCATTAAAATTTTTAAGGCTGCGTAACGTAAGTACTTTTAGCAAAAGTTAATTTAACAATCATCACATTTTTTCATTTAAATTAAATACATTATTCACCTCTTTTTGCTTGTGTCAAACCACACCATTTATTGTCAGGATACACAGAAAAAATTGCAGAAAATATTTTCACCATTATGAATATTTCAGTTTTTATTCGTGGAAATTGTCTGAGACCTGATCTTGTGATGTGAGCCCAAAATTCCAACTTTCCTAAAAATTTAGGAACATGTAAGAACCAGAACTGAAGCATCACGTTTTCATACAAACATTGCACAGTACCTGTGAGAAACACATCAAAACCTTTCTTGTGTAAAAACACACATCCTTCTTTATACTTTGTCAGTATCAGAAGTATATCAAAGATGTAGCGCCTTATTGCAGAATTATGGTGCTGAAACACGAAATAAATCCATATTATTGTTATAATAACACCTCAGCCTTTATTTTAAAACTAAAATATTTCTTTTACTTTATTATACTACATTGTGGAGATTTTTGTGTTAATGTCTTAGGATGTTTCTAATCTTTTCTATTAAGAAAATATATTGGCTACTATTGTGCATCACATTTTCTTTAAAAATACTCTACCTCTGCTAATAGAAGTAAGTTCTCCCCTGCATCTGGCATAAACACTTTCTTTCCTATCTCATTGTTTTTCATAGCAGCATGTCGTAATATTGACAAAGCGTGTACTAAGAAATCTTCATCAACATCACATACTGAACCTAAAGAAAGTAAAAAGATAAGTTACCTAATGCTATTGAAAATTTGCATTATAAAAAATTAAACTTTTTTGTTTTGGTGAGGACGTTACATCATTCATAATATAATATTTGGGGCATTATTGAATCAAATGTGCTAGACAATTGAGTAGTTAACAACAATTATTTATGTGATAACAATATACTCAAAGAAAACAAATTTCTTTTTCTTCAATTTTTCAAAAATATTTTTATAATATAATGTGCTAATTTCTATATAGTGTTTTAGTCATAAAAGTTGTATCCTGGACCTTAGTGGCTGTAAATTGCTCGTGTGTTTTACAAACTCAATCTAGCTTTTCCTCCTTTCTCACATTACCCTCACATCGTGAAATTAGTTGAAAATATTTTTATATAAGTCCCTAATTTTCAATATTTAATGGATCTTTTGAAAAATACAGACCTTGTGTTCTACTCAATAATTAAACAAATGAAATATATGCACATTGCATTTATCTAAATTTATTAAAATAGCGATGTTTTATGGTTGAAGTGCAACTGTCATGTCTATTTACTAACACTCTCAGTTGAGAGGTCAATACTAAATAATATTAAGAGATATGGTAAATTTTTATTTTTAGTAAAAAACTGTATAGTGTATTTTAAAAAAAAATACATTTTTATGTTGATTTGGAAGAGGAGATGACATCATATTTATTGCCATGAATTCCAGTTTGCTTCTGCTTGTGAATGGAACGTCAGCCTAATTTGTAGTCAAAAGGATGGAAAAGGGTGCAATATGGAAATATGAAGGTCAGAAGTTGTACAATGGTCTCGTGTGATTCTGCTTTTACATTAGGAAATTATCAAAGAAATCCCAGAAATTACTGATCAGAGCAGAAGGCTTGTAAAATTTCTCCCTCCAGTGGCGTAGGTCAACACAACTCTTTAGTCACGCTGAAAATTCTCTAATTCTGGAGCTTAAATCTAGAACCTTTCTTCCCACAGTCTCTGTCACAGATCAAAACACAACAAATGTAAAATAAAAACAAACAAACCAACACATGGTCTTATGTTAATATTATCTATACATATTACCTTTCAACTGGCCAATTGAAACTAATGGCTCCAAGGAATTGAGAGGAGTATGTTTCAAACAAATCAGTTTTTCTCTCCGAGCATAAACCCATGTTCCAATGTCCATAGCCCATAAGAGGACATTGCCCTTTTGCTGCGAAACAATAAGGCCACGTAGAAATGGCACTGCCTTCAGGAAGGTATTTTCAAATTCTACATCCTGAAAAATGTATGTATTAATTTGAGCACTGGAAAGTACAAAGTTCTGAAAGCTCATGATTTTTCTGGTAATACTTACATCATGATGAAATCCAACAACATTACCATTCCTAAAGTAGCTCTCTGGTTTTGTTTCAGTGATTTTTTGTATATGATCACTTATTTCTTTTAAATGTTCTTCCCACTCTTCACCCAAATACATTAATATGTATCTGGGTGACTTTGTCCTTATCACTGTAATGTACTTTTTAGCATTTCCTATTGAATTTTCTGGAAAGTTATTCTGTATACTATCCAATTTGGTGCAATCCATGTTTGGTTGAACTTTTATAATTTCTTCATTCATGTTTTTATTAGCTTCTTTACCAACATTTCCATACAGAATAACTTCATGAGCTCCGTGTACCCAGTCATCAAGTCTTAATGATATTAAGTTTGATAACAACTGAGATGCAGCATTAGAGTCCATTTCAAAAGTGTCACAAAGTAATGTTTTTCCTTGGCATAGAAGAATTATTTTTCTCTGAATGTTGTCAATGTTGGATGCAATGAAAGTCACAGCATTAATTAATAAAGATACTAAATGCACTTGAAGAAATCTTGAATGGGGATAACAGGCAATACTTGCAAAGAGTTTAGTAAGGGGATTCAAAAGACATAATTCTCTTGGTGGCCGAGCTTTATCTTCAATCTGTACATTTTTACGTCCAAATACAGATACTGTGCAACAATATTTCTCTAAGAGACTCTCAAATAATTGTATCATTGATTTATCAAATGCTTTACGTACAATATCTCTGTTACTAGCACATTCATCTTCCAGGCGTAAAATTATGAAGACTTTTATTTTCAAAGGAATTTTATGATGAAATAAAAATTCAACTAATTTCTTGGCATCTTCATATGTTAGAAACTTTAGTGTTAAAATATGTTGTAGTTCTTCTTTTACTTCTTTTGCATCATCTTGATATTTGTGAGCATTGTTTGTTATTTCATTTTTACTGCTTCTGTCTGTATAGTTATGATCTCTTAAAACTAATTGTTTGTCCATCTTACTTTGGAGTTTTTCAACAGAGTTTTGGAGATTTTCTTTAAAACTCATTTCTTCAAACAATGCTTTGTGTTCAGCTATTGATTTTTGGCGATCATTGAATTTTTCTTGTTGAATGCTATGATATTGCAATTTTAAATTTTCATCTCCATTCAATTTTTTATTCATTTCATTATGAGAGGGATTTTGAGATTTTTCATAATCAGAAATGATGGATGACTTATTGGAAGATAACTTCTGGAATTGTGAAATATTGACATGTTTTAACATTCCTTGTATTGTTTCATAACTTGGATATTTTTCATCATTTTCAGGGGAACATGATCTGGAGATTTTACTGAATAAATCCATCATTTTCTGATCTATTGCCCTAGAAAGATAATGTGCATATTATGAAATATTGTTCATGGAAACCACCCTCTTTTTACATATTATATAGGTGTCAAAGCAGGAAATGTCAAAACTTCAAAATAACCTCTTATGACAATTTTAAGCATATTTTGTCTTATAAACTCCTCGGATATTCCGAATGATTGAGCTGCAGTGAGCACTCAAAAGTGGTTAGAAAAAAATACATAACTACAAAAATTCGCATTGCAGGAACATGTAAATTGTTTATTGTATACCAAGGAAATTTATATTTTTGTCCAGAAAGAAACATACATTAACACAATCAAAACTAATAGTTTCATTAATTTTTTCCTCTCGGTCAGAAGGGACGCTTAAAAGAATGTTGTGGATCTCATGCTCGTTGAGCGCACGATGTTCGAAAATGGAAAATTCAAAAACGATGCGAGTGTACGAGCTGTTGTAGCTCCACAAGTTTACATTAGATACATACAAATAAATATACTTCTAATTCGAATTAAACTCTAAATTATTTCTGATGCGTCTGTTGCTCTAGGCGTAAGTTTTCTTGAGCCTCGGAATATTCTGTCCCCCACTCCTATACTAACATTAGTTTACTTTGAAAATGTCTGCAACAGTTCTGTGGATTTATTTCAGAGTTTATTATAGTTAGTTTCAAATTACCATTTTTCAAAGAGTTCTAATCCTTTGCATATCATGCGCTAAGGAAAAAACGACAGTTTTTGTCAGTTAATAAGAATCCATCGACACAAAACCTTCTGTGATACTGGCGGATAGAGAATTACCCCTCCAGTTCTACATCGAACACATTTCAGAAGAAAAAAAATGAAGTTTGCAGATTTTGTTTCTCATACAAAACCAAAAAATTATTGCAACACATATTACTGCATGTTCGCGGAAGCTATGCGTCCTGTACCTTTTAAACTCTGTTTGCGGATACGGCCCTTTTTTAGTGCGGGTCTGGCGAAAATAGTGTTTTGGGTGACGGGTGAATGACAAATCAAGAACGATGAGGGCAGTTCGGGTAATGCTAAAGGATAGATGGGGGAAATGAAAGGAGGCAGGATGGACATGGATTATTTTCTTAGTATTCTACAAAATACAATCTTTTGGATCGTTCTTTTAGATGCCCCCCTCCCCCAAAGGCCTATTGATTTAAATATTTGTGTTCTAATTCTGTATTTATTTAAACAATGTATAATTTATCTACAGCACATAAATAATATATGACCCACAATGACTGACTGGAACCGCCCCTGATAATGCCCTGTCGTCGAAATAACCAACTTAATAACCCCTCGCGCATACGGCGAAATGATGGTTCAAGAAAACGTGCGGGAATAATACTGAGGGGGGGGGAGGCCGATTTTGTTTGAAATAAGGGGTCCCCGTGGATTACTGTCAAATACTCTCTTTCTCTGAGCGCCCCTGATTAGTCCTTCCGCGTGTGGTGTGCGATTAATATTATAGCCATTTGAGGGTCACGAGTGAAATGTTCGGTTACACATCCGCAGACTTGCCGCGGCGCTTTTAGTGTCGCTGGTTATCCGATGAGTTTTCAGAAAATGGTGGACACAGTTGACTAGTCTACTAACCTTGGCCGTGGCAAGGGGAAACGGGGTGGGTGTAGTTCTTGTACTAATTATTAAACTATTAATACTATGTTTAGTTAATTTAGCTCAAAAGTAAATCAAGTTTAGCATTAAAATAACAATCAATATAATTACAAATATTATAAACAATCGTTACAACAATTTGGAAACATTGAATTCAATGTCAAATATTTGTCGGCTTCTGTTGGCGATCTTTGATTTTGTTACTATGATTGCCAAGAGTATATGGTATAGACTCGAATTATTGTAATTGGGAACCTAGTCAAAGTAAATCTCAAAACTAATACACCCGTAAATAATTGGATAATTTCACCGAATAAGAAATATTTACATGCTTTAATTTTTAAAAAGTGAACCAATACTATAGTGAGAAATAATTATACGGTGAAGGAACAATTATGCAACATTACATCTATAAATGTAATGAAACTAAAATAAATATTTATTTATGGTCAAAAATTAATTATAACTGAGTTTGCGTGCTATGGAGCACTGTGCACAATTACTTGAGATCTGGCATCCCCTCCGTAACTCATACACAAGTTGAATTGTGAATGCAGGTGAAAATGAACGTTTTGGAAAGTGATAAGAAAACATTCTCTGCCGTGTAATAAAAACTATTTGCAACGTCCAGACAGACACGGATTTTTGCTATTATTCCCCACTGAGCTCTACAAAAGAGGGAGAGACAGTGAAACTATATTCTGGAATATTAATGAGTTCGATCCACAATACTCTAATAAATACAACATTAGCTACAATCTAACGCAAGAGTAAGCGTTTCATCAAACTAATCAGGAGTAACGACCAGGAAACGTGAATATGACGCAATTTTAGGTATAGATATAGAATAGTCGGAATACGACAGTGAGCGCACCATGAATGATGTTGCGGCAACTTAACTAACCTTGAACACATTTTTTCAACAAATACTTATGCCTAGTTGATGGCTGTGGAAAAAATACAGTTAAAGATTTGGATTGTTCTGAAGACTTGGATCGGTGAAAATTCGTACACGGTGTTTTGAGGCCCAGAATACTTACCCCCTTCCTTTACCGACGTTATAACTTAATTTTAACTTGTAACGAAACTTTCAAGCAAAAATATTTCTGGATAATCATAAAAAAGAATAAAATCGTACCGCAGCATGAGCTGAATGTAGCCTGCGACATTTTACAAAATCTGTAATATGAAACATTCGACCAAAAATTTTTGAATTTTCCTTTCCAGTATTTGGTTCTGGATCTGCCTCTAGTTAAATCAAGAATGAATGTTAGCGATGAGAGTTGTTGAGAAAATCTGGTAACTAGAAATGTTCGCTCCCGTGAAATAGAAATTATTTTGCATCGAGAAACAAGCTACTGATGTGATGTTAAGAGTCCTCTCTCACAATAACCAACCCCTCCTCATCTCTCGCATCTGACGGAAAGAGGGCTTAAGAAAACGTGAGCGGATAATACCTACCCTAGAATGGTGGAAGAATTACATAAAGTACAAATTCATCAGCAGCATTTATATAATATTTCTTGCAGAATCCAATGCTAGAAAAGTCAGTCGCTTGTGACTGCGTAACGTATGTCTTTCGAAGATAATACTTCTGGAATAAGATTGCCAAACCTCACTCGCGCTTCGTTCATTGTTGCAATCGGAATAACTCTGGCAGTAAGTTGCGGCATCTGAGAGGCAAAGATTGATGAGACTACGAGACGGACCGTGCTGTCGTGAAAGGATATAAGGATAATGTCGCAGGGTGCACTCAGCTTATGCTGCGATACGATTTTATTCGTTTTAATGATTATCCAAATATATTTTTGCTTGAAAGTTTCGTGACAAGTTAAAATTAATGGGTACTGCTTAAAAATTTTAGGGGGGAGGATTTACCTCATTTTCATCCCCGTGAATCCGCGCCTGATAAGAATAACGTTATAATAGATGCAAAGATTTCCTTGCTGCGCTCCGATAAATTCTCATTGAACTGGCAATATGCAATGTTTTCAATTTCACAAAAGAAAAAAATTAAAATAAAAAAGTCGATAAAATCCATTGTAGTCAACTGTTTCCAAACATATTTCCTAAATTGAAGTTCTATTTCATTTGCATGATGTGAATAAAAACTGGCAATGCATTTTCATTGGGAAATCTTTTCTATCTAAAATGCTTTTGAAAAAAAAAAAAAGAATACTTACCTAGGTTTCACCAAATTAGTACAGGACTGCACATTAATATTTTTTGGCTGCTCTCTTCTCGAGATGTTGAAGTTTCGATAACGAGAAATGGCAGGAAACTGCCACGCAGAGGCTCTACGGACCTACTTCTCGCTTCCCTCCTTTACCTCCGAAGCACGACTGTTGGTTGATTACGTTTGCATAAACCTCGGTGGTGGCTATGAACTCATCTCAAGAAACTAAGAAGAAAAGACAATTCAACCAATCAGATGTGTCCATTTGATTTTTTTTTTTAAATATTTTTTGTGATTAGTTTTAGAAAAGTGCATTTTTATCTGCACTTTGAGATAATATTCTAAATCTTTCATTATAATTTAATAAATTACATGAATTATTTTGATGAGTTATTTATTGTCTATCGAATTTTAATTGAATAATCGATTACCAATTTTAGGTTCAAAATGCAGTTTATGCATTTCTGCAAAATTTTTATTTTGAAAAAAGGGAATTAAAATCAATATATTTATTACAAATTTTCGATAGAACATCTAAATCACTTACAAAACTGTAATATATTAAAAGATAGAACAAATTCCCTGTAGCGTGAATGGTTGACCGTGAATTTAAATAGTACAAAAATATTTAAAGAATGTCAAATTTATTGTATAGTTTCTTTCAAGATGATTTTTTACCTTGAATTCTTGTTACAATAAAGTGTTTAGAAATTGAATATACTGATGGGACATATCAAGGTGTGTCTCCGACAGTGTTGCCAGATTACGCGATTTATCATCATTAGCAACGAGCTACAAGCGTTATAGCTCCAAATTTCTTCCAGAGTTCCCAGCTGAGCTTCTTCAGTTTTTATATAACTCTTTTCTTATGAACATTATTTTAACATGTTAAAATATACTAAAAGAAAACCATTTGTCGAATTCACATGCAATTATTTCTCAAGTGAATGAACCTGTGTTATTGTGACTTGAATATACAATTCACTTTCACAGACGGCATTTTACTCTTTCTCTCAAATAATTTATATTCTAAAATCATCGATGGCCGAGAACGAGACCGTTTTATGTCCAATTTGTAAGGAAATAAGATTTTTGTCTGTGTTCTAGATACCTTGTAGCTAACCCATTCCATACAATACCATTCCATACTTACTACATACAAAC